ATGATGATATATAAGGCATTGTTGCTATAGCCACCTCCTTTATCCTTAGCTTTCAAATAACCCAGTAAGACAAACCTAATTTATTATTCATTGATTGTTTAAATATAGCCAAACGCAAAGTGTATGTTAAATATAATTATTCAGTCATTAGACAAGCATTTATTGAGCATGTGCTATATACGCCAGGCATTGTTCAAAACACTTAAGAATTATCAGTAAATAAAACAAAGATTCCCACCCTCATGGAGCTTACATTCTAGCTAGAGAAAGTAAAATAAATGTGATAAATAAGTAATGTGTATGCTATGATAGAAAGTGATATGAGTGATATGTGCTATAGAAAAAAGTAATATAGGGATCAGCAGCAGCTGAAGGAAGATTATGTGAACATCATTGGAGCCAAGCATATTTCCATAGTGATGTCTGTTAAGCATTCAGCAGAGCGGTGAGGAGGGTTAGGACAGAGCCAGATGTCTAAGTAGGACTAGTCTGGAGTTCAATTCCATATTGGGCATTATGTGCAGGGCAGTCTGATTTACTCTAAAGGAATCGGGTTATCAAAGATAAATCAGACATTGTTTCTTGCCCTCAAGAACCTACTGTAATCTAGAAAGGGACGACAGACGTGTGAACAACTAGCTGAATAACACAAATTCTAATTAGCAATATATGTATGTGGTTGCTGAAAGGGAGAAACAATTAATTCTGACTGGGGGATCAGTCAGGGAAGCAGAGAAAGTGCAGCCTGAGCAAATTTTGACGGAGTGAGATGTTTCACCAAGTATGACAAAGACTTTTTCTCAGAAAGTGGTTTCCAAATGGAAAAGATGCAAGTGACTATGAGGAGAGTACAATTACATACAATTAGTAGAACAAACAGAATTTTAGGTCCCTGACTGATCTTTCCAATATTTGTCTCATATGCCTTTAAATAACGTACTTGAAGGGACAAAAATTTTGAAAATGATGAAGCAGAGGGAAACTGAAAATAGGATTAAGGAAAATAATGATTTAATAAGGAACAAAGGCAGTAAAAAATTATTTTGAATTATTTGATAAATAATGATAGATTCAGAGATATTAATTGCTAAAATAAGAAAAATAATGTTTTAGTAGACTTAGGTAACACTAACCATAATTTAATTGCAGTCTGTGTTAAAGCAATAGTTCCCCATTGGCTGATTTCAGATCTGTCTAAGCCCTGAATCAGGACTTCAGAGCTACTGCAATTGATACTGAATATCACTGCTTTTCCTTAGTTCAGTTTGCCTGTATTTGGATTTGTGAAGGAATGAACTATTCATTTAGCTCAGTGATCACAGTATTTGTCTTCTCTTCTAATGTCTTCTGTCCAAAATTGAGAAATGAGCTCATTCCAAAATATATTTGCTGTATTTCTCAGTTTTGTGAAATAAAGCAATAGAACAATTGTTCATTTTCCTGGGAATTACTGTGGTAAATTCGGTTTAGTAAAATTTAAAGTTCACACTGAACATTTATGTTTTACGAAAGCTGCCAGCAGCTCTTCATTGAATATAAGAAGTTGAACATGTGAGACTAAGGCTGTGGCTGTGCCAGAGATTTTTTAATACAAAGAAATTAAAATAGGTTATGTAACTGCTACTTAATTTAAATCTGTACTCAAATTATAGATCTCCCTTAGTTTAATCTTTAAAAGATTCATGGATGGATATAATGTATAAAAAAAGAAAGACTCTAGGCTATTTTTCTCTTTTCCTTCTTCAAAACAGCTTTTTGCTTCACTCCATGTTGTATATTTCTATACTATTCTGCCTATTAATGAAATATACATTCTCCTTTTATTAAAACATATCAAACCATTTTAGTGTTGGCACATAGAACCATTATAATTTAAAAAACTCTGCTAGAACCTTGCTTTAAAATTATATAATTGTGCCATTAGTATTGTCATAATGGTAACCAAAAATGTCTATCACTCATCCAGCTGTTAAACTTTCATTCAAATTTTGTTTTAATGTAAATAAAACATTCTCATTGCCATTGATCTTCTTTTCATATTACTCTTCAGTTTATCCACTTAAAAAGTACCTCATGAGTATTTTTCTTATTAAAAAAATTAGAAATTTGAGGCTTTTGTTTGTTCTTTTCTTTTGTTTCTTACTGTGGAAAATATTTGAAGTGCAGAGATGTATTAGTCTATGACATTCAGGGCACCTATACTTTGCATTAGCATGGGCTCTATCGCCCAAGTTTGATTACTGCTCTTTGAAGCTATAAAAAACAGAGAATTGTGGGAAAGTGATAAAGATGAACAAGACATGGAAAAATAAGCCTTTTAAGAAGGAATTAAATCTTTTTAGCTTTAAAAGGGAAAGAAGGAGGGGCTGGCCCCATGGCTGAGTGGTTAAGTTCATTCACCCCACTTCTGCGGCCCAGGGTTTCGCCTGGTTTGGATCCTGGGTGCAGACCTGGCACCACTCATCAAGCCATGCTGAGGCAGTGTCCCACACAGCAGAACTAAAAGGACCTACAACTAGAATATACAACTATATCCTGGGGGGGGCTTTGGGGAGATGAAGAAGAAAAAACAGAAAAGTTCATTTACAAAAATAGGCAGCAAGGGGCTGGACCAGTGGCGTAATGGTTAAGTTCGTGCTCTCTGCTTTGGCGGCCTGGGGTTCGTAGGTTCGCATCCTGGGCCCGGACCTAGCACTGCTCATCAAGCCATGCTGTGGTGGCATCCCACATAAAGTAGAGGAAGATTGGCACTGTTAGCTCAGCAACAATCCTCCTCAAGCAAAAAGAGGAGGATTGGCAACAGATGTTAGCTCAGGGCCAATCTTCCTCACACACACACATACAAAAATATATATCTATTAAAAAAAAAAACTAGGCAGCAAGCTGCATTTCATCCTCAGGCCTTAGTTTGCTGACCTTTGGACTAGATGACCTTTAAGATTCCTTTCACATCTGCATTCTGTAATATTGCTTTATTATCAATGTCACCTATTGAAGGAGATTGTCGTTCAGTTGTTTTCTATCTTATCAGTCAGGGGCTAACCAAGAGAGAGAAACCAAAGTTATTTTAACAGAAAATTTGATATATTAAGTATCGTTAACTAGGTTTTAAAGGACTGAAAAGGTAAAAAGAGAACACTGAGGTATCGTGGACTTCACAACTGTAGGAAGCAACTACCACCTCTGAGCCTGTGGGACAAAGAGAAGAGGTTGCAATTATTAAGCTGTCGAAGGTTGGAGGAAAAGCTGAAACTCAGATCTCTGTGAAGGGGCTGTGCTCAGCCGATACTAATATTTCTAAGCTCCAAGGAGGGCTATATGGGGACGGGACCTCTGGTGGATCCTTCTTTTGTTTGGTAGTTACACACATATGGATAAAGAACCAAACAGTAGAAAATAGACTTTGGTTAGAGCAGGAGAGATTATATTAAACATAAGAAAGAACTAATTCACAGAACTACATTAGAATACCAGTGGAAATGGTGTAAGAGTCATTGTCCCACTGTTTTTAAATAAAAGATTAGATAGTTATCTGTTCTGGATAGTTTAATTTCAGAATGTGGAAGTCAAGATTATTTTTTATTCCTCTGATATTCTCTTCCTCTCTCTGGTTTGTAATGTGGCACTTGACTTCCTTTTCTTGGTTTAAGCTTCCAAGACTAGCTTTCAAAGACTTTTATTTCCTTATAGAAACTGTATCTATAATTTGGATGAATTTCTTTTGTCTGGGTTTCCAATAGACCCAAGTAACTAAGACAGTTGCAATAATTGGAGGATATGGGGAACATAGATCTCTTGTACTTCTTCTCTCTTATTCTCTCTTCCTCTCTCTCTCTCTCTTCTGTGTTCTCCATCTTTTCTCCCTCTTTTTCAGCTCCTAGAGCACTTCATGACTTTGTTTGTGCCACTTAGCATAATCCCCCTTATTTTATTGTTGCTTGTATCTTATCTTGACTGGGGATATGGCCAGTGCTTCATTGGAGCTCAGCAATCGAGAAACAGTGATCTCACTTTACTTCCTCTCATCCACTCAAAACAGTCACCAGAGGGAAAAGGCAACTAAGCCAGGGAGGGCACCAAGAGCAGTGCCCAGCACATAGTTGGCTCTCATAGTAACTGTCATTGAATGATGGAACTAACCCCCAGCACAGGATCTTACATAGTTGGCAACAAATTGAATTAATTGTTTAATTAATAATTTATAAGCTCTAGGTAACCATTTTCTGACAGAAGTTTGGGATTTTTTTTTCTTTTTTGTTAAAAACTATTTTGTCTTCAGTACTTCCTGATTCTTGATTTCTTCACTTTTTGGTTCGTTGTTGAGTGGACACAACAGCTTTCAATATACAGCAGAGTCAGTACCCATTTTCCCCCCCATCTTCTGCCATTTTCTCTCTCCCCTTTGTGCTTGGGTTAGGGGTTAAAGGATTTCTAGATGCAGTGGGAGGCTGTTATTACTTAATTATCTTCAGAGAGCAACAAAATGTTCTTTGGAATTCATGGACTTTGGCAGTTCCCTAAATGGTGTTTGTCAGTTCCCAGGTGCCCACCTTTCCAATATATACATATACACACACAAAAAATTGTTTTCGGATTTCATTTTTTACCACAAAGGGAAGTGCTTTATGTTCTTCTTACGGCTCAGTATAATTTGAGACAGATTTCTCTACTAATGATGTTTATATCTTGTTCTACAAATGGATTTGCGACACAAAAGAAGCAAAAACTAATAATCTTTGTTGTCAGGTACTAATGTGTTTGCCAACTTGTTGCTATACTCTCCGTAAGCTCAGGTAGTTGTTAGTGATGAAGGAGCTGAAGATAACTCTCGACATGTTTCCCTAGCATATGTTCTAGACATGGATGATGACTTTGAGTTCAACAGACTCTTGGTAAATATATCTGCTGGAGTAACCTGTGATTCCAAAGTTTGAGAGATACAGACTAACTGAAAGCTTTCTAAACTTGCATATTGTGACTAAACTCTTCTGTCTTGTCAGCCACAAGCTCTGCCCACTTGGAGGACCTTGCTTACCTGGATGAGCAGAGACATACACCTCTGAGAACTTCTCTTCGAATGCCAAGACAGAGCATGGGTGGTGCTCGCGCGCAACAGGATTTAAGAGGTTAGAACCACAGGAGGGCTCCTGGGAATGCCCAAGGGCAAATGGAAATGAGCAATAGGCAAAAAGTTCCTTTGTTTCCAATTTCCACACTTATTTAAGCCTCCTTAAAAGTGAGCATGGGGGCCGGCCCGGTGACGCAGTAATGAAGTTCGCATGTTCCGCTTCAGTGGCCCGGGCACCGGTTTGCATCCTGGGTGCAGACATGGCACAGCATGGCAAGCCTGGTAGGCGTCCCACATATAAAGAAGAGGAAGATGGGCATGAATGAAGATGGCTCAGGGCCAGTCTTCCTCAGCAAGAAGAGGAGGATTGGCAGCAGATGTTAGCTCAGGGCTAATCTTCCTCAAAAAAAAAAAAAAGAAGTGAGCATGTAACCATAGAAGAGACAGATAAACACAAATACATTGTACTCATCATAGAAAGACATTGTAGTTACCAACAGTTGGAGGCACTGATTCCTTGAAATCTGAAAGAAAACAAATATAAAATGTTGGTTGATGTGATGGGGGAAATAGCCTTTTTATGGTCTTGGATTTCAGAAGTGATTTTTGACCAACTTTAGCCCTGGTCATATTGCAGGTGAAATTGGTACTGATAATCATGTGTTTTGCTAAAGAATTTATTTCATTTTCATTCCAGTAGCCATTTCTAGTGACATGCAGTACTCTAATTTTCTTGCAGTTTTAGACAGTGCTTCTAGTCCTATCCTGGCAACTTATCCTTTATCCTTTTCCCACTCAGGTACCTGTTTCTTTACACTCTTTGTGCATGCTACATGCTTCTACAATCAGGAACCTGATCTTTACAAAGATTGTCATTTTGTTGTAACCCAGTCTAGTTGAGAGACCAGTTATTGGTATCTCTGCTTGTGCCTCTTATTTACTCAAGATGAACCAAACTCTCTGATAGCCTTAACAAGTAGTCTGCTTTCTCTAGTATCTAGTAACCATAGCTCCACTTCATCAAGTGCATTTTTTATTTTATCTTATAGATAATTTTCATCTTTCCTTTGCTCTCCTCCTCACCCCTTATCCTGTGTCCTGCTCTAATCTGTATAGTGCCACATGTATAACTCACACAAGAAGGGATTCATACATTCCTGCTGTCAATTCTGAAAGTCATTATGCTGACAGTTTTTTCAATGGTGGCTAGGCAACTAGGAGCATAAAATAATTGATTGTGTTGCTACAATTACCATACCTCTCATCAACAATAGTGACTGGATGGTCTCAGTCATAGTTTTAGTTCCCAATCCTATCCATCCTACTTGCTTTTTCTTCAGTTAGCCATATACTAGTTGCTTAGTATATGCAGTCATGTATTTCTAGCCCAGAAAGTGGAAATATATCAAGCAATACTTTAGTGCTGGTAGATTGATTATATCCAAAGCCCGAATAAATTTAGTCAAAAGACCAAATAAATGATTTGTGCTGAGACCAGAATGCATAGCCATAATGAGGAAGATTGGACACAGCTATTGATCTACATAGACCTTCAGATTTGGTTGAAAATCTGCCACATTGGCATCACCTTGCGTCTCATTACTGAAAAACATACTGACATTGTTGATTTTATTTTCTGCATTGCTAGTCATTGAATAATGAATTTTATTCTGCATACAAAAGAAAATTAATTGACAGATTTCAGCTGTGTGTTTTTGAGAACTCCACTTTGGGTTCTGTTGGTACTGGATGGCACATGTCTGCTTCTAGTATCTAAAGATTTAGTAAGATCTTCAACAAATGCATTCTGGTGAGCTTGATGTTTACATACATGTATCAGTTGTATCTAGAATACAACAAAAATCTTTTCCATTGCATTGAACTTCAGCTTAAACAGTCAGTAAAACCAAAGTACATCCAAAGATCTTTCTGAAGCATACCTAAATCTTCAGGAAACTCTCTGCCTGAATAATGCATTCCTAACAAAACTAATTTCATATCCCTTGCAGATAGTGTCTCAACTTATTGTTTACATTAATATTTAAAGATAGAGTTTTTCCATGGATAAAGGTGGTATGATATTAGTGCTTCCATTCCTTAAAGTTATCTTTCTTTCAAGAGCTTTTCTTTTAGCAGTCTAAATGGTTAGAACATGCCATCCAGATGAGTGCATTAATCCATAACGGACTGAGTGTTTACTAAGCAGTATGTTGCCTTCTAAAATTAGCATACTTTAATTTAGAACTTTGAGGCCCTGGACAATAATCTTCCCTCAAAAAGTAACGTGTTATCTTGATTACTGTTTACAAATGAACTCTATGGCTTATGATATGACTTAAAACACATTAATAAGAAAGGAAAGCAAACTTGGACAGATTTTCCTTCTGTTTCTATAAACCTGCTTGTCAAGCATTTATAATTTGTATATTATATCTAAAACATTGCCGTTTGTTGTAGAAATAGAATCATATTGTTTTCTTGGCATAATTTTTAAAAAACATGTCACATCGTGCTTCCTAATTTTATTTAAAGGAACATACAAATTGCAGTCATATTTCAGTTTTATATCATTTTCTTCTTCTGGTTATAGTTGAAGTAAAATAATTTTACCTAAAAAAGTAATAAAGTAATTGAAAACCTTTTTTAGTATACATTAGAGATATCTTTCTACATTAGAGGTATATCTTTCTATATTTTAAAATATTACTCAAACAAGTCCTATGAAATAGTTTTTTGTTTTTGGGAGTTTTTTTGGCTGAGGAAGATTCTCCCTGAGCTAACTTCTGTTGCCAGTCTTCCTCTTTTTTGTCTGTGAGCCGCTGCCCCAGCATGGCCACTGACAAGTGGTGTAAATCCACACCCAGGAAGTGAACTCGGGCAGCTGAAGCAGAGCACACCAAACTTAACCACTAGGCCACCAGGGCTGGCCCTGAAATAGTTTTTTAATAACAATTTGGTTTTAAATGATCCTGGATCTTCAGAGAAGGTAGTTAATGGTCATGTACTCTGTAGTCTATCCAGTGTATCTAAATTTATGGACTGATTCCAAGTATAGAGATTGTCTGAAATAATATCCCTTGAATATATGTCTAAAGAGTTGGCAAGCGTTTATTGGGTACTACATACAGACAGTCTTGCACTATTCTGTTTAGAGCAGTGGTTCTCAAACTTTTTCGTCCCAAGACCCCTTTATACACTTAAATAATTATTGAGGACCCTGAAAACCTTGTATTTATATGAGTTATAGTTATTGTAACTTTTTACCATATTAGAAATTAAAACTGAGAAATTGTTAAAATATCTGTTCATTTTTTAAAAAATATAGTAGATCCATTATGTATTAACATCATGTAAGCTCTGAAAAATTCCACTTTATACTTGTGAGAGAATGAGAGTGGAAAAAGACAAATAACCTCTTATATTAGGAAAACAGTTTTCACTTTGTGGACCCCCTGAAAGTGTCTTGAGAACCCCGAGGGGTCCCCAAATCACATTTTAAGAACCACTGGTTTAGAGGATACTGTTGTAATTGAAGTTAAGTTTTATGCCGTTACAGTCTGCTTACCAAAATGCAAAAAAAGTATAGTTTGAGAATTGGTTATAAGTTGTTCTTGAACATGGTTTAAGAATACAGGCATAGTTCTTTTAACAGTTACCACCTTAATAGTAACTTCAGTTGTTTGATCATAATGGTAGTCTTATGACTACTGAAGCCAAAGTTGCTGGGGTGATATCTGAGCTAGAATTTGGATCTTCAAGTGGGATATTAACATTAACATTTGCTTCCTTAGTAAAAAGCTTTTTTTTTTACTTTTCAAGACAGCTGTTTTGAACAGCTGTTATACCAAAATTGATGTTTCCAGAGACCCAGCCCAACAATGGGTAGAAGGTCACATAAGTGCACTGACCAGGATCCCATTGCAGCAAGTTAGTAGATTCCTAGCTGTCAACCATCCAAGAGCTTGAGCTCTAATGATGAAATAGTTAGAGAATATTGTGTACTAGTGCAGAACATAGAGCTGGCTAACCTACCACAAGTGCCTTGTCTAGTCCCAAAGCCTTATGTCCTTGACAGATATTAATTTGAAACCTTATTAAAGTTTTTAACTCAAGTTTTTAAAATTATTTTGGGATCCACTTTTTAAAATTTAATAACCATTGTGTTAATGTGGAGTTTTGCTAGAAATTATCCACCTGAAACCTCTCACTCTTTCTGACTGTCTCAATGGAATCTCTTATCCCACAGAGACAGAAACTAAGTTTGCTGCCTAGTAAAAGGAAAGAAGAAGTTGTTGATTTTTATGAATAAATGTAATAAATCTTAGGATGGAATCCATAAACAGAACCAGGGGGAACTAAAATACACAAAGAAAACCGTAGCATAATGACTTCAAATAGTAGCTACTTGGGGTAAATTAACAACAAATTATTAGTGATAAGACTAACTTGCCTGATGTCAAATCGTAATCACACGGTTCTGCTTAAAGAGATTACACATTCCTAATTAGAACTTATTTCTCAAGGGCCAGCCCTCATGGCCCAGTGGTTAAAGTTTGGAACCCTCCGCTTCTGTGGCCCGGGTTCAGTTCCTGGGTGTGAAGCCACACCACTCATCTGTCAGTAGCCATGTTGTGGTGGCAGCTCACATAAAAAGAGGAAGATTGGCAACAGATGTTAGCTCAGGGCAAATCTTTCCCAGAAAAAAGAAACAAACTTATTTCTCAATATATGCTGATTTCCTTAGGACTTTTACTAAATCCCGTTACACAGATGGCCAGTCACAGGCATTGGGTTTAGTTAATAGCTGCTTTAATAGATAGTAGGTTGGAGGATGTATGTGCAAATGATAGTTTGACTCATTGGCAGAATTTACATGAAATTGACCCTGCCACAGTTAACTTGGCTTTGTCAAAGCATAGAATTGAATTTTTATCAAATAAAATAAGTGCTTTACACCATTTGTGAGTCCCTTACTTTTCCAAAACAATAAATCCTTTATGAAGATGACTAAGATGCATGTCATGAAGCTAATACTCTTTCGTTAGCCCACTGAGTCAC